AATACTTCCACCAATGTTCAGACTTCACCAACTATCCAATAACAGCATCTGGCACTCAAAGATGTAAAGTGGTCAACTACACTTTCGGACTAACTACATAGTAGTTCAAACACTCCACAACACGTTTAATACGTCTCTAGGTTAAACCATAGTTGAAAATATCGTAAAATTCCGCGAATATCCGGCGGAATATTCTATTTTTTTAGGTATTTGAAATGGTACGAAAGTCGGATTACAAATGATATATTAACCGCACAAATTTCGAACGAAATGTTCGGAATTTATGGATATTGTCGGAATCTATTAGAATATATACTTATTGTTAATATTTTTTCAAAATATCAACCTCACCATTCTGACAAATGCTTGGTATATTCCGGTTAAAAATTCCAGTATTTCAGAAACCGAAATTTCGTCATTATTCAGAATTGTCATTATTCAGAATTTTCAACTATGGCTTAAACCAAATCCCTTTGTAGAATGCTTGTAATAGAACTGTAGAGATGATCAATACAGGAACTACTTGTAAAAAGCGGCCAACCAAATACTACTATTCAACATTTTTGTATATGACTGAACTCAACAGGAAACTTCTTTCCAAATTCCTCAAGCTTCAGCAAATTGCACTCCAACTTTCCATTTCCACTATATAAGCCAATTGGCCATTATCATACCCAAACAGACTCATCATTCATGGGTATAAACCTCAATTGATGAGAATATACCTTGTGATTTCATCTCAGTTACACAAAAAATCTGAGAATGAACTATCAAGATTGTAATGTGTTGCCTGAAGATTGTATTTCTACAATTCTATCCTTCACAACTCCTCAAGATACATGTCGATCATTGTCAGTCTCTTCATTGTTTCACATAGCAGCTGATTCTGATGTTGTTTGGGATAAATTTTTGCCATCTAATTATCAGTATATTATTTCTCAATCAGTTTCTCCCATTGTGTTTTCTTCTAAGAAACACCTTTTCTTTCAACTTCAGAATCCAACTTTCATTGATCATGGTAACAAGGTACATATTCAAACTTGATCTTCTAGCTAGCTAGCTAGTACATGGTAATTAATAACTAACATTTTCTTAATATATGGCAGATGTTGTCATTAGAACGATCGACAGGCAAAATAACTTGCATGTTGTCTGCAAAAGAGCTTTCTATAGCAGGTTCTGATGATCCAATGGAATGGATATGGATGTCATCACCTGAATCAAGGTACATCTCGTTTTTACTTACATTATAATTTGAAATATTGATCATTAGGTTCAATGAAATTAATCTACTTTAATTTCATGTTTTGCAGATTTTCAGATGTGGCTGAACTAAGAAGTAGCACTAGGTTGGAAATCAAAGGGAAGATAAGAAGTAACACATTATCACCAAAAACAAATTATGCTGCTTATCTGGTAATGAAATTGACAGATTGTTCATATGGCCTAGACTCATTACCATCAGAACTATCAATTGAAGTTAGAAACAAAGTGTCAAAGAGCAGAGCTTATTTACGTCGAAATGACAGTAAAAAACAATGGTTAGAGCAACTATATTATTCAAACCGCGTCCAAATGCTGAGGTCTAGAGTAAGTAGTGAAGGAATAGAAGGTATTGCTCAAGAAAGAAAGGATGGGTGGATGGAGATTGAGTTGGGTGAGTTCTATAATGATGTGGGTAATTGTGAGATCAAAATGAGTTTGATGGAAGTCAAAGGTGATCAACTGAAAGGGGGTCTTGTAATTGAAGGAATTGAATTGAGGCCAAAGTCGTCTAAATAAATAGACTTGTATATACTGTATATTTTTCAGCCTTTTATTCATTGTAAACAAAAGAAATTTATTGATTTTTCCGAATTACTCAAATGAGTTCTCTATAAATTTTAAGTCGAGCTGTTGGAAGTTTTTTTTGGGTAAAGACTATACACCTTCAGCATTGGGGCATCTCCGCATCTATAATCGATACACCTTTTTGACTTGCAAAAAGATCTGACTTTTGAATGTTTCTCTACTCTTGACTTTGACCAGTTATCCCAGTTTTTGTTTGAGTGTACACTGTACAGTGTGAACTTGAAGTCAAACTTTGAACGATAATATTGACTTTAATTTGGGTACTTATCCTTAATTCCTTATCCTTTACTTAAGTTGTGCCCATTAGTGGTCCAAGTCCGTGAAACTGATTTGGGCTTCGTCGACCAACTCAACAAGGCCCAACCTTTGCCAGGGCTTTGTTTCTTTGAATTCTAATGCGTCAGTGTCAGTCCTGTAGTTGAGTATCATCTCTATTCTCTTCAAATAACCCTAGCCACCTTCAAATCCTTTATTTTTACCTTCATAAATTTTCTGTTTTGAGCTATTTATTTGATCTTTGAGAAACAGATTAATATAAATTTCAGATTATGGACTACATTTTCTTCAGGGATATTTTTTTTTGTTATAACTCTTTTAGTTTTTCAATTATAGACTG